TATGTAGGGTTATYATCGTGATAAGTGATGACGTATTCGATATTTAAAAGATTTAGAAATAATTACAATAAATAATATAAATATAATTAAATGAAAATAAAATCCAAATAATTAGGCAAGAAACAAAATAAAACAAAATAGTATCAACGATAATAATCAAATATATTTTTAACGTTGAGTAGGTCACTATTTTTGTGTAGGTCATTTAAACATATTATACATGTGTTTTAGGTGCAGTATTATAGTAATAATTTTAAACTTGATATCGATGAGTCATAGGAAACACCCGAAATAATCTTCAACAGAGTTCATCAAAATGATGGTCATAAAAAGTTACATTTTTTATTAGAAACTTTAACGGCATATATAAATAAAATCTGATTAGTAATAATCAAAAGGTTTTTAATTGATTGACTTCGTTTGAAAATCGTCTTTGAAAGTTAATCAATATGACTCAATAGTAATTATAAGATTTGATAAGTAGAACTTTTAATATAAAATTATATTTATAAAATACTTAAATACACGTTAAACCAATATTTTCATTTGATAGAACTATATGTAATAGTTGTTATATATAATTATGTCACACAGGCTAGTATTACTATAGTAACTAATAATAAGCTATCTATAAAGTACAGAGCACGATGATATACCTAAAAGTAATTTGAAGGATTTTTTATTTCTATTTTAAATGGAAATTGCTAAAGAATTGGAGAGCAATTTCCACTTTGGAATTATTGAGATTTTCCTGTAGTTGTATGCGATCATTTGAGTTTGATCGACTGAAACTCCCAAACCTCAAAAAAATTAAGAGAAAATTGTGAACATTTGACTAGTCTTTTTCACTGTAAAAGGTCAAATTTTCTTGTAAAATTGCCAGGAAATAATTTTAGTATGTGATAGAAGAAAAAATATGTATAAATGTGGTTATGTGTCATTATTATTAGGAGTTATTAATGACAATTCACCCCAGCCACAGTAAAACATATTAAAAATATCTGTTATATCAAAGTTCGACGACCTTGTATGTCAGAAACACTTTAAAATTAAAAAAAAAAAACTGCTTATAGTAATTTAAAGTTATTATAAACCGATACATTTTTTTTTTATTGGAAATTTAAGTATTTAAATGTTTAATTTGTTTAACTTGAAATAGTTTGGTATTTTTTCCTTAAAATTAATTCATATATAGCCATAGGTCTTAAATTCACAMAGAAAGTTATTGAGATTCGATATATGCTTTTCTACTGGTTTAAAACTGGAGTAGAACTTACGCACATTTCCAATAAATTGTGTGCATATACGCTTGAATTATCCACGTGTTCGATATCAACGTTTTCTGCATTTACAGCTGATTTTTAAAAGCCACAATCCATAGCGATTAACCGACAACAGTAAATCGATGATAACTGTTGCAGGTGCTGCTGCAGTACAATATTGGTTGGTAACGATCTTAGGTTGTAAGTAAGTTTCATACCGCGAATAACTGCTTTAAGCATAATATCCGCTAGTCTATAATTATGGTAGTCAGAATATTCGTATAGCGTGACGTTTTAAGCAATATAAGGCGAATTAAAAAGCAGCGCCATTATATAATTATGGTACCTGCCGTTATTTATCGCACAACATTCAGAAGGGTATTATATAGTTACAACGGCCGTCTTCACACTTTACTCTATATAAAAAACATTAGCGGAACAAAAAAAAAATACAATGTGTAGTAAAACCGATATGCTTCTGCTGAACATGATTACATGAAAGATGAAAGTAATAAATATATTTTGCTCTACAATTAATTTCAATTAAAAATACCTAAGTATATATATTTTAAAAGTAGGTATATTCATCTTGTTTTTTTCGAAATGCACGATTAATGACAAAAATACATATACTATAATGTTGTCAAATACATAAATAAAGCAACGCACGTCAATTAATCACAAATCTACATATCATATTAACAATACTAATGGAACTTAAATAAACTCAACTAAAACGATATAAATGTAGCTATTAATATTAGATACATATGAGATTTGTAAGTAAATAACTTACTAAATAATTTATTTTTATTTAATTGGTCCTAATTGACCTACATTTGTAGCTTTCTAAATGGAGGTTATGTCATTTAAAATCATGGTTTATTCTAACTGATAAACTTAAGTGTCGGTCATTGTACTAAACAAATTTATTCACCGTTATGTTAACCTCTAATTTTGGCAAATAAAACACTTACTAATTCTTTTATTTAACAATTGTAAAACAATTACTATATTACTTGATCAATAAAAATTATAGCATTATACATTGTACAGTTAGTAAACTAAAACAAAGAAATACTTCGTAAAACGTTTAATAGCTATTTATCGATTGAAATTTAGCAGATGATCTCGAAATATATAAATAAATTCAAGTGGTAGCATTAAATACTTATATATTATTTGTTGATAAATTATTATGTAAGCTAAAAATATGGTATGATTGCAATAAAAAACAAAATATTGCAACTTTTACGCAAACAACACTTCTGAAATGAAYTGATGTTAATACCTATATATTATTATTTTCGAGTAYTATTATAAATAATACTTGTGTGTCTTAACTAGCAGAATATATACCTATATATATTTTTTAACGTCAAAAAATTAATAAAATGAAAACCCCAATGGAAAAATTACAACAAACTAATATATAAAATAATTTACACACTATCATATTTTCACTATCATCATTGACACATATAATTTTACACATTTAAAAGTCAAAAAAGTTTCAATCTTTAAAAAGTTAGTGAAACAAATTAATTTGTTTCTTTTATTATATAAAAATCCGTGAACATAAGAAAAAAAWTCAAAATCATTTTCGTGAACTGTTTTCGAAATTAAAATTAATTTAGCTATAGCGTATAATCATATTCTTAAAATGTACGCGTCTAAATCATGAAGGATTAAACAAAAAACATAGTTTGTACTTTTAATTAGAATTATATAACTTAAATTATACTACCTTTACTAGATTACAGACGCACTGTAGATAATATACTATATTAAGTAGTTTTTATTTTAATTATATCTTTTGTAAAATCTAATCATAATCAAAAAATGAATACACAAAATACAAAATTAAACAATGACAATGATTACAACCTTGGATTAGGCAGGTAAATACACTGCACACACGCACACACTCTGATATATAAACCTAACCCATAAAATAATATTGCGGGAATATCATTAGATATAATATAGCGTCGAMAGCTAGGATATAGTTTTATCAATATTTCGTCTTAGCTATACGTTAAAGAAACGTATCTTGAAGTCAATATACCGTTTGTCCACGAGCGCAAGGGTACACTTTATAATGAAATTATACCCATATTACCCACTACTTAGTGCCCTATACAAATTTTTGAATTCTGTTCGCGGTACATGAAACTACACTGATGGGTTATCAATCTCTCACAGATATAGAATTAAAAAATATGTATAGGGTACTGAGTAATGTAGGTAACTGAGTTATATAGAGTGTGCTCACTACCTATCTATTTTTTGCGGACTCATATAGTAAGTGCCAGTATTTAGATTATACAAATACACACTCAGATATTATTCATTTTGATTGCAATTGTGAAAAAATTGTCATGTTTAAACCAACATCTGATAGTGATAAAAGAAAATGTAATTATACACGCTTGTTGATAAAACATAACGATAGGTACCTAACCTATTCATAACAAAAAAAACATTGAATTTGAAACCACGCATATTGTTGTACACATGTGACATTAGAATTTAGAATCATATCGTGATTGATAACCACACAACTAAATATACGCCTAGCTTATCAGCGAGTACCTATTTGTATACTTGATATTTGCTGTGTCGTTTACTATATATATTATATACCTACATACTTAGGTACATACACTTTTTTATAGAACATATTATACGTTAAAGTGACTAATGTCATATGACTACACATAATTTAATGATATAGTAAAAAGCTGATCGAACGACTTATAAGTCACCGCGCGTGCCGTATACAATAATTTACATACACGTGTATGATCATCACATGATATATTATTATATTATACATACATTACAAGACGATACACCAATAATTTAAACAAATACAAATTGAAGAATATACATATGTTATATGGTAATTCTTTCCATCGTGAACCAGGTAATATTATATACATAACACAAATCACTTTTAATTGTATGTACTTATACCGATAATCAAAAATATATATAAAATAGTAGGTACATAATATTTTTTAAAGTTTAAAACAAATTATATTTTCTGAAATACCGTCAGGTTTAAGATAAAATAAAAAATCTTGTAAAAATGTAGTATGCGATCTATATTTAAATTATTTTTTAAAATACTTATAATTACCAATTGTTTTAAATGAACGCTTTTTACATTAGTAAACATATGAACGTAACAATAATATGATATTATGATATATGTTATCTCAAATACTGTAATTTATTAAACATAGCGTTTTTAAATAATTTATATCAATTCCAAAAATACAAATAAAGTATTAATTTTTCATTATTCTACAATAATAAGGTTTTATATATAATTCTTCATTTATTTTTTAAGAAAATTATTAACTTACCAGAAAAAATAATTTTTAAATAATCACGTAATTAGTATAACATTCATACCTATATTAGGTACCTATATTCAGTATATTCCTATTAATTTTATTGAATATTAAATATTATGTTATACCGAAATACAAGCGAAATAAACTATGATAAACTGGATGAGTAACCATCCTTTTAACCCAAGTAATTTAGGAAACGTGAAGTGGTCAATCCAATAAGATAAAAACTTAAACTAATCAAACAAATCTTTTGGAGTTGATATGATATCAAAAAACATTTATTTTAAATTAATCTATACATATATAAATAAAGACCATCCTAATCATAAGTTATGTACACAATGTTATATTATAATATACAAATTCGACATACCTTTTTTAACCAGTGGCTTCTGACCAAAGCGGGCGAACCACCAACGCAATAGACGACGGAGCAAAGAGAACCCATTGGTATATCCGGCAGCGGGTTTTCCGGACTCTGAGTACTTACGGTGGTAAGCCGGCAGTCCACAAGCGGCGGCTGCGGCGGCGTCATCTTTCTTGTTAACGCCAAACTCTTCGATTACTGGCGAAGCCGCTGAAACGGGCGYGACGACAGCCGTGTGGTGTTCCCTGCTGTACGGCGACATGTGCACTTATATATAGTTATATATATAACACAAAAATATGCTTCTCCAGTGCTCCAATATTCAAATTATATCATTCTTCACAGCAGCAGTCTGTGTGTACACATTTTTTATTTACAAAAATGTTCGATTTTACAAACGCAAATACGCCACTCGCAGGACCGGATCAAACCATTTAAAGGCACTATATCTCGCAATATATATATTATAAACACTTAGACTTTATAGGGTCAAGTATTTTAATTCTCAAAATATACTTATTGGAAAAATGTAATAATTTCATCAGTAAAATCGATAAAATATAACTCAATGCATAATGCATAATGAGTAATTGAATTTGTTTCTGTTAGGAACCTATATCATTATGTAGCAGGTTAGTGTGTATAGTTATAATTAAAAAAGTATATATGTATATATTTTATGCTACCTCTGTATGGTTAACCCGGTCCTACACACACGTCCACCACGACAGCCGATTCTACATAATACGAGTACAATATATATATATAGTAAATTAAAAGGTATAAAATCGCGTTTTCTGATCGATCAATCGTCTAACGAATATATTTTCTGACGAGCACGCGATCTAATATTTATTCGCAAGTCACAATGCAACGAATTATAGGGTATGATGGAAATTATGTATGATATATCTTCACCGTGTTCGACATAGACAATGAATAAAAGACGTAAGACAGAAATATTGCTGCAACGACGTGATGCCGACATCGGGCGACATACTATAGTAGAATATTTCAAAACGTGGGGGCGTGATCAACATTCTTTTTCATGGCTGAGGCTACGAAGAGCAACCGATTTTAGATCAAAAGAGTCGGCAGTAGTGGTTGATGGAGGTGGTTGCACAAAAGCAATATTGGAATAAGACTATAACATTATAAAAATCCGACGAAACCTTTTGCTATTTACAAAACCAATATCCATGATGTTAGTTAACTTTTTACTAATTTTTTTTATTTATTTTATCCAATTTCATMTAAAATAACATTATTTTTTAATATAAAAAAATTACCTTCAGTGGTTATACTTAGTCATTAAAAACCTAAAAACAATCAAATACTATTAAACGCACGCAATACCTTTACACATTATAAGGTTTTCRTTGAGCAATGAGCACATTATTTTCAAATGTTCATTTCAAGCAATTTTATTTATTTACAATACCTATATAGGTACCTATATAGAATATACATTCGCATATATTTTTAAATTTTTTTTGTCATTAAAGTTATAAATGCAATAATACTTTGTACATAACACCACATATAGTTTGAAACTCAATACAGTAACTATAAAAATTTTTTTTTTATTTCAAAGTTATTTTTAAATATAGAAATAAATGCAAATGCCAAATTGTTAGAAAAGCTCTTTTTAAAATATATGCATATAATATATCACATGTATGAAAATTTTGTATTTTAAAATAATGTTATTAATGAATTATGTAGGTATGCCACAAATGATTATATTGATTTTTGTCATATAAAAATCATATATTAATACAATATTACGTCAAGGAAAAAATTAATAACTAGGTACAGAAAAATCAATTATTATGCAGCAACCTCCAGATTTTTAATTAATTATATTCAAAATCTATAAAACTGTTTTCGATGTGCTCTATTAACAAAATTAGCCACCATCATTATTATAACGACCCCCTTTAAGTGTGAAATTTCGAATAAATGTGTAATAAGAAAATACTATCAACATTTAACAATAAAAGGTTATTTACATATAACTCTGTTGTTGAAGTGTTAATATTTATCATAATATATAAAAACATTGCTATTCAATAACTAGAATGGATATCTTCAATTATTACAAGAATGAAATAAACAATTCAATAACCTACAGTTACGTCAATGACTTTTCGCGGTCATTACCGTTATTCCGGTTATGGTWGTGATTGTGACAACCGGATTGGTACCATTTTTCCCTCTGACAACGTAAAAAACAACAGGCCATTACCAACAGTGTTATGAAGGTTTTGTCTTAAAAGAGGAAGACTCATGTATCGTCTTCAGGGAAATTAAACTTATATAACAACCTATCAGTAACTACTGATAGGTCATTAACCGTTTAACGGACGTTTACCCTAATATACAAAGATAAAGAAACACACCTTATTAACATATTTTTTAAACGTAAGATTTTAGTATTACATTATTAAATAGGTATATTTATGGTTGATTGTGATATTGTTTTTATTTTGCTAATAGACTGGCGTGCAGGCAACCAACATCATTTTCAGGAAAATAAATAGGGATGATTTTTTATTTTTTACAGTTCATATATTATATAGATATTCAACATATAATATATATTATTATGGATTCAACTCTCAATCGAACAAATTGAAAAATTGAGGTTAAATCCACGCCCAAAACTTATGAAAATGGACATTTGGATACGTTGAAAGAAAATAATCGATAATATTGGCCAAATATGACTGCTTGTCATAATTGTATGCCAAAGAAATATAGAACGAATATATATTTTTCGATAAAAATGTCAGGGTTCTTTCCGATACTTTTGCCAACGTACAATGTGGGCGTTTCACCTATGAGTAAATTATTGGGTCTCGTAGGCAATAATAGTGACAAAACTGAAAGAAAGTGCAATGATAAAAAATAACAGGAAGAGGAGCGTGTTTTTAATGACGAATTGTCCATAAACATTTTAAAAAAACAGTCATTCATTTCAAAGGTGGCCTTGGGATAAAMCATTTATCACTTATTTATTTTTTTATTTCATAGACATTATCTATTATCAAGTATTTAGTGAAGGACAAAATTAAAATTAAATAACCAAAATTTCTAAATCATTTTATTATTTCAAGTATAAAAATTTATATAGAAGTGCTTGAAACAAAATTTACCAGTAGAATTTTTGCAGGTTTTTTCAACGAATTTCACCCAAAATTTGTTTCTTTATTAAATTCCAATATAACACTCGTAAAATAATTTAATAAATATAGAGATTTTTAACATTTATAATTCCTTTATAATATAAGAAATAAAATATCCTAAATGTGATCCTATACTCTGACAGTTCTACTATATTGATTAAATTCTATGTATTTAATATATTAGAAAACGATTAAAAGTATGTTGAAAATAAATGTAAATATTTCAAAAATGTATGGACATACTGATGATATATAGGTATCGGTCGTACCCGAACAATACACCCTCGTCCTTTGAGTATACTTTAAATGTCAAATATCAAGGACAAATATAGGGCAACACCGTGAAAACCTTTCATTTTTATTATTCTAACTAATTAAGTAATAACTGTACTTAAAACCGTCAACAACAGGCTGAAGTTTGCCTATTTTACAGTATGTTAGTATATCAAGCGGAGAGAAAATGATAAGAAATAAAATATGAAAACGGAAGTGGGTAGATACACCATTCGTTTTTACCTATACAATAATATCACGCAAGAAAACGTAACAAAGCGTCTTTAACTTATTCTTACGATTGCTGGAAAACGATTTGAATGGGAGAAAGCAACACATATATGTAGGTACGTATCAAAAAGAACACGAACAGCGAACGCCGCCGGGGTCGTGATAGGTATAGCCTTGCTGCCGGCGAGGCAATGATCAACGGGGGCGATGAGACGACAATGTAATTTTTCGATACATTTTTGTCATTGAACTCTATAGGTATATATACATTTGCATGGCCCATTCAAAGCGAGCATAGTCGGTTCTGTTTAACAAAGCGTGGTGGTGGAGGTGCAGAAAACTATCAAGTCACCAGGTGTGGAATCTTATACGYCATAGATACATGGAGTGTATTCATTTTTTGGTATACATACGAAGAAGAGATTAAAAAAAACATGTGGGCGTACCACCGGTCGCTTACGGAGCTATGTAAGTACCAACATATACATTTAAATGTCAAATGATGTACATTTGTAGGCAAATTGGTAGTCATTAATTTTTTTTTATGTTAAAAATTTTAGTTCAAATATTTCTTCAGAGACTTTTTCTCTAAAGTTGTATTTTATTTTGTTATTAACATTTCACCGCTTAAATACAACTCAACTCAAACATTGATGTTAACGGTATAGGTACCTAATAACACTAATAACATAAATTAAATACATATTTCTAGAGTTATGATAGTATAATAACTTTCAGTTATGAAACCGACATTGTTGCCCTACTAAATTCATACACTTATGTACATATAATATGGAATAGAATAATTTTAAAATATGCATATATAATTATATACTACCTAACGATTATGTACGATTATTTACTTGATGGTACATTTATACATTTTAGAATAATAATATTTCGTTAAAATAATATATGGTATAGAATTCACGACACAATATTATTATGATTGCTAGTTTGACTATTGAATATTTTATACATAAACAAGGCAATTAGTTTTTAGCATTCACTCATTCAAAACGGATAATGTAGATGCTTAACTTATTTTGTTTTATAAAATAAAAGTAAATAGTCAATAATCAATAATGAAAAGTATATTTTGTTTAGTTTAAAAGATTAATATMAAAAAATATCATATTCTCAATATTTCCAACTAGACTAAAAGTAATGTAGGTACTACTAATTTACACAGATTTCATCGATCGATTTTTTTATATTTGCATCTAATTATGTTAGCATAACATATTAAACATATTGTTATTGTAAATACACTAAAACATAATATTCACTTGRCACAAAATATGAATTTATGAATGTAGACTTATAGAAATAAGGTAACTCATAATTTATCGTACCGAAACTTAAAATACWTTTGACAAGAATGCCTTACCCAAAAGTGTAGAGAAATTATCAAAAACTTTATTTTCTGGTTTTGTATTCATCATGCCCRCTGGATAAAACGGGAAAATTCTTTTCCAATACAATATTTTTTTAACAACTTGTGAATAAATAAAAAATGATTATTTGCCAAGTTCTAAGYAAAATAATTAATACCTTAAACCTACTAATTTACCAAATATACAAATATAATATGATKATGAATTAATCTTCTCCGTTCTGATATAGGTACAATTAAATATTACATTAAATTACAGGAATATAATTGAATTAAGTAGTGCTATTTTAAATTATTAAACTAGGTAATAATTTATTAAAATTATTGAGCTAAAATAGTTTTATAAAGGGGTAGTTAATAAAAATAAATAAACAAAACTAGGTTAAAATCGTTTAAAATATGATGTATTATACACAACACGAACTTATTTAAAACCAAAATAGTATTTTGAGTTTATAGGAGGCTACTTGTCTACTACCTTGTCAGCTACTTAGTTATTCGTATCACAGTAAGTTTTAAAGTAGAAGTATAGGTATTGATAATTTAAATGTACAGTACTATATTATAAAGAATTACTACCATGCATATATTTAATGAGCAAAAAAACATTTTCAATCCATACTATAGTTAATATCAACATTTTTACTAATTAAAATTTAATTTAATTTTTTTWATTTAAAATTTAAAATAAATTACCTACCTAACAGTGACCGATGTTATTAAATTAATAATATCCCCTGATACACAATATATATGTTTGCTCTACTTAACTAAATTTGCTTTAAAAACTCTTGAAATAATTTCTAAGTACGTATAGTAAAAACATACGAAATTGTGTTATAAAATAATAAAAGTAGATAATCAATAATSCCTAAGTAGTAACCAAAAAACTAAAAAAAAATTTCAATACAAGACATTTTTCTCACACATTGTTATTATTATTTATTTATATGTTAACTAGTATAAATCAATAAATAATCATAAGTACATCGAAATACATTTTTAATAAGGATGTGTTTATTCGTTTATTTCAGATATTGTCGAYAGTTTAAAATCAAACGCTTTCTTGGAATTGAATATATTATGTTTCATTTATACGTCTCAAAAAACTATAGAGCTTAGAATAGTTATTATTTATTACTTATTATATTTACACGTATATAAGGTTTCCTCTTTCCAGCCACTCGAATTATCGGAAGCAATTAATTGAATGTAAACAATAAACATTAAAGCACTACACAGCTCATTGGTGTTTGCAAAAGACTTCATCGGACTTATAATGTAATAATAATGATATAAATAATCATCCAAAGTGTATAAATACCATTTAGTTGTTTGTTTCGTCCAAACAATATAATGTCTTTAGACCTTTTAAATTATATATTTTTTTAAAAACGACTAATTAGCGGGCTGTTAAGTATAATTAATTAAGTAGCTGCGAAACACTATTATGATAATATTAWCTGTTATACTTTAACATTTAACACAATTAAAAAAATTTAAATAGAAAAACAAATAAAACGGCACTTTTGCGGCGCACTGTACATAAATAATATGAATATTACACTTAGAAATGAAAAAAAAACACAATTTTAACGAGAGAAAAGGATCATCACATGTGTATTTAAATATCACCAACAATATATTATTTTATTATATTATATCATGGTAATCTACAGTACGGTCGCGGTTAGGACCGCGAGCAACAACAACAACAATGCACGCGGACGCACGGATCGGCGGGAACAACAACACTGCAGCGAAGGATAGAGAAAGACGCGGCTGTATTAGTTCCCTCGACGGCGGCGGGCGCTCACGAGTTTTTGAATTCCGCCAACGGACGTTTACAAACGTGACGTCGGCACGCATGCGCAAAGACGTAGGTCAAGTCGCGCACACTTTCCATTGCCCACCCCTTCACCCTTTCCACACTTACCCGCCCCTCCATAAACCACCTCGTTCGTAGACTGGCGGTATCAACTTTTTTACCTGGTCCATCGCACCCACATTGTGAGTGTCCGTCTAGTACTTTACTTACACACTAAACACTTATAATAATTTTTATATTTTTAAGCTTCTATATTATAATATGTGATGTGTCTGATCGAAAGCCTTCGAATATTGGGTTTTAAATTTTAATCCAGTCTTGTCGTCGCGTAGATTTGCCTCGAATACGAAATAATTGGATACATCCAAAAATTGTAATAACATTATAGGTACACGTGGCGTATATTAGACAATAGGTAAAACAAAACTCCTTCGTATAGACCGTATCGTATTAAATAAGCTACAGGTAAACAATTAGCGTGGTAACTGCGTATACCTCTATATCTGCCTAGTGGCCATAGTCGTTATCTGTCACGTTAAAGATAGGTAGGCTTACGCATACATGTTTTCTATTTGTTTTTCACGTATCTATATGAATATACAAGACATAATAACGTTTTAATAAAACATGTTTTTTTGSCCCAATCATTATTTAATATAGAATAATACTACACGTACATTATGTAATATAATAAAGTATATAGGTAAGGTATATATATACAGCTGTATGGATTTTAATAGTTTAAACGAGATTACGGGTATAATATTGTATTAGGTACGATTTAGAAAAAAATCTAAAATTATAAGTTCTCTAATAATAATAAATATTGTGGTAAATTAAGTGTTCTCTAAACACGTGAAACTATAAGAGCAAATGGGGAGAAAATTATACATTTTGGGGTACCACTTTTAATGGATAAAAAGTAAATTTTCTAATTAGAAAGGGCTTGGAAGGTTTTAAGTGATAACGAGTGAAAGCAAACTTTGAGAAAAAAGGGCACCAACATTTTTGTAACTAGGGCGCAATAATCGTAAATACACCTCTGATAACACATTATAAATGACATGTATATGGTTCACAATAGAATATGATAATTATAGTACATTAAATACAATTTCCTGGAAATATTAACTAATATCATGGTAAGAAATAATCCACAGAAATTAAATTCATATCAGAATAATAATATATACCACTRTAGTGGGTAAATCATTACGCAATTATAATGTTGTAAGTATATATTATATATATTATTAATTATTATAAAGAGTATCCCCGGCTAGAAACTCCATGTGTTTCAACGATGGTGACAACCCCACTTAAAATTAATAATTCAGTTTTTATTCGTCGTCAAATTAAAACAAAGACAACGATCAACAAAATACGTAATACCACGTTTCTTGTTATATTTTTGTACACAARTATAAATACACAAGCCCTGTTACAGATCTTATAACAATATTATCATACGTTTAATACACATAACATATAACGTTACACGGAAACATACTGCTATAATAGGTAACGATGATAGTTCAACWTAAACAAAAATGTTTTATGGGTTTTCAATGAAACATAATTTTATGAAATATTTGGCCATTTAAGGCCGAGTAGGAACAATAAAATACTATAGTGGAATCATTTTTTGAAACAAATATATAAATTTATATTTATATATTATTATATTATTATATTATTATTTTATATATTATTTTTATTTAGATTCCATTTGGTAAATAAAACAAGTTTAATGTTCAACACTCTATTCACATTTTCATAATAACACAATATTGTATAGATATTTAAAATCTTTATTCTTAAGTTATTATGGAAACATTCAAAATCAAAAACTATATTTTTTCGAATCAAAAAAAACTATCTTAATTTTTTAAAGAAAATGTACAATAAACTAATCAATAATTTGAATGCAAGCCCTGAATTACTGCCCATGATTAGATTTAAGGTCTCATCGTGTAATTTAAGATGTGTAGAATTATTTTATTTGTTTGTAGCAATAAATAAATTAATGTCTACTTCTCAAATTTATTGTATTGTAAAATAGACTAATATTTAGATTTCAGAAAGCGGATTTATTTGTGAATTATTTTAGTGAATTTAAGAGGAATTTCAATTTAATCATGAAGTGATATGTTATTGTATATAATTCTATTGGAATTTAAATCCGTATGAATTGAACAAATAAATTAATAATATGATATAAACTCAAAAACAAAAACTAATATAAAATAGTGGAATTATAGAMAACTAACAACGATGTCCACCAAATTAATATTTGTATATATATTATTATATTAATTGGATATTGACACATTGAATTATCTCTAATTGTGTCATTAAAATTTAATATAAACATTATAGTATATTTAGATTAATCAATGTCGTATAATACTTTAAATTAATTGTRTAGGTATATTTAAATTAGTTTGTTTAAATATAATTTATTCATAAATTATATTACACTACATTATATAGGTTACGGGAATTAATTACTTTCCTAATTGTTATCTAACTATTCAAAATGTAATTGAAATGGAGATACTTATACGTATATAAAATACCCATCGTTATTTTTTGTAAGATGGTATATTATTTATAGAATCAAAATGGGGTCAACGATGCTCAACCACTATTATCTACGATAAATTTTATTTGTGAAATAAGTACTCTTATTCATTGATTAAATGTATATAATGTAGATAGATTTAATATTAAATTAAAAATATCATCTGGAAATTKAAATTTATAAGACCCAAATATTAATATATTATGAACTAAATAACAAAATATTTAGCACAGTTTATTCTATAATATAATTATATTAATTTTTAATATTTTATAAACCATTCATTTAGTACCTGCCTATACCTATGTCCTTTATTAGACATTTTGACCATAAACAACATTCATAACAATGATCCAACCTGGATAGTAAAAATATTATATTTTTTTAATAATCACAATATGTATTATATTATTATTGATTCTTTTATTAATTTAGTGAACATACGTGAATGCACGTGTTTTTTCTGTTTTATGCCTATCCGATTGGACTAATGGACTACCAATTATAATATCTACATATCAAACAACGAATCTTACAACTTGATGAAAAAATTTGTGACATTACATTAGGTTGAACAACTGCATATAATATAAGGTACGTACTATATGCAGTGCTGTCCAAATATAAATGTAGAATTGTAGAAACAATAAATACTGTTATGGTTATATTCAATTCAATTATACAAAATTTATCAAAAAGTTTAAGCAAGTTTCAACAACACATATTATAATCAAAACAAATAAATAAATAGAACAAATCAAAGTTGGCCAATAATTCACCTTTCACATTTCCCGCATTATGTATACGAACGTATGACTATATATACATATATGATGTATATTGGCCAAGCTGCAGATATTGCTTAACTACCTAGCTGCCCATTTGTTAACYTACCCAATTAACTAACGGTTGACTACACAAACCGTCTGCAAAACACAATTGAACTTCTCAAGATATTCTTTGATAGGTAGGAGAGGGTGCTCCTCAGTTATTAGGACTTTCAATAACCTACTATTCTCGATGCATCAATTAACAGTTAAATCATCTGAAACACAAACACGCTACACGCCACACATCTCACTATCTCAGTATCTCACATTGCGTTGATTGTAATAATAATATGTAGTGTAGATAGACATTTTATTTAGATATCATATTATACGGTACAAGTAACTATTACATAGTAACCGATGCCAATCTGCTGCAACCATTACACATTTTTTTAATTGTTTTTACCGGTTAATATAGATCAAATAGTTAAGTGTAAGTATATTTTGAATTTTTATAATGATACATGCAGTACTATACCTGCGATATCGTYAAAGTGAACCATATAATAATATGATTAATGGGCGCAGTGCCAAATAGTATAATAATAATTGTAGCAAATTACATTTTGTTTTACCTGTTGCAGCCGAGCTTGTCAAACAGGGCCATATACAACTAACCTGAAACAAATGTTTTAAAGTTCAAATAAACAACAAATTCATAAAAAAAAATACAAAACAAACTTAAAATAATAGTGATAAAATCTAAATCACATTTTCACTGTACATTATTTTATTAACATTTAAAGTTATTCGAAATCATTTATCGTATACATTAGTATAATTAGTAGGTAACACTAAACACTAGTTAAATAATATAATTGTAATGTTATATTGAATGCTATATTATGTTCTAATCACTGAACTAAATAATTTACAGAAATACTAAATCAATTTTTATTTCAGAGTTAATATTACCTATACATATATATATATATTATATATATGGTATACTGTATACTAATTTTGGTAGAAGTTATTATCAACTTGTATTTAAAAAAAAAGCTGGTAAGTCGTGGATGTCGCTCTGCTGTACAGTAGGTTACTGTAATGGATGGGATTAAATTTGAAAGCAATGATAATAGTATCATTGTATACAAAAAACGATTCTGAACGGAGATGATTTGTCAGTCTAGGATATATTATATTTAAATATTGTCATATATTCTATTTTGAAACAAAATTTTATTTTTCAATTAAGACGCATTTTGCATAAGGCATGGTTAATCAATTTGTATAGTTATCATGTAGTTATCATAATTCATAATACCTTATATTATCATAGATATATATATACCTGATTTGAGGATCAATCGTTATCATTACGCGATTTCATAAAAATTTAAAACTCAAACGCTCAAAACATTTTTCCTAAAATGATGCTTCAAATTTTCTCTATAGCTATTTGAAGCAAAACTTATGGAAAACTTAGTGTAAAATTTTATAACCTTAGATATAAATACAAACAATATTATGAATTTGAACTACAAAATAATTTGCAAATAT